ATAATAAGTAATAACTATATTAAATATCCTAAACTGACACAACGTCTCCGCTCAGAAACGTTTTTCATATACAACGATATTATATCAAGTATTCAAGTGGATATCTCGATTAATATTTTGTGGAACAAAATCTATTGGTACGAATATCCATTGGAACACATGTTTTTCGGAACAATATACAATGTCCCACATTCCACAATGTATTATACATATTGTGGCAACTCACAACATATTTTGTACATTATGACAGCGGTATTAGCGCGTTAGCGTTCGACAGCTGCACGCCCCTCCTGTTTGTATTTTACATCGTTCGAAACTCCGATCGCCGTCGGCCTCTATGACGATACCTTTCTCTTTACCCACTCTCTTTCCAGACGCGCGTCGTCGAATACGCACCGTGTTTCCAACTCTCCTTCGAAGCAGACATCGAACGATCACTAAGCGAGTATTATGTAAGTAGATACAACAATTTCGCTTTCCGTGTTAACTCTTTAATATTTTTCACGTGAATTTTTAATTTGTACAATCTGTATGAAATATTTTTGCAATCAGCACAATAGATGTAGGGATAAATAAGTGGGCTGTTTGGATTAGTTGAAATACAATTTATTACTACTTAAGAGGATGTTACACCCACATGTGTTGTCTCGGTCTTAAAAATGTACAACATAGCAAAAACTGTTTTGCGGGGGATAGAAGCACTCAGTTTGTAGTCTTAGTAGATAATCTAAAAGTGTACACAATATAGAAGATAATATTTTCTGTCATAGCGTGTTTATTTGTTTGATATCATCGATAAGAAAAAAATTATAATACTTTTAAAAATCTGGTATTTTTACGTTTTCCAAGTTAGCCATTGATATATTGGTATTATCGAAAAAAATAAAAACGCTACCTACAACGGCAGTTTGTCTTATATTTTACATTTGTAAGATGGATATGACACATACGGATGTGGTGTCCTCTTAAACATTTAAATTTAAATCATTGTTTTGTTTTAAATACTTTTAAACTTATATATATATATTTCAATAACACCTAAAAAACAAAGTATAAAATATATACAGTCGTCGCCAGACAGATTGACACGGCGGCCGTGACGCTTTTCAGTAAGTGTATCGCAAACTAGTCACGGCGTATTTCAACTCACGGACTTGCTGTTGCCTTACCAAGTTGTTTATCATAAATGTATTAAAATAACAACTTCAGCTGACAATGGCAATATTAGATTAATATGAAATGAAAACTATGGAATATACTAATACAGTGTTGGACAGGGTTTTTTTTAACGATTTTTTCTCACTGCACAAACATATTCCTACTCATTAAATTGTTTGAATAGACCAGACTTACGAACTGTTATAACTTACCCGTTGAACTGCTATACTACTGTCTGCTGTATACTGTACCTACTACCTACATTTTTAATAATATTGTTTGTAAATATATTATGTAGTAATACTTACTAATTAAAATGTACTTGTAATAGGTAATTTGTAATAATAATTGTTTATAAAAATAAAAACAATCAATGAACTAGGTAACTTCTTTTTAATTTTAAACTTTTACATTAAACAATATTAATGATTTTTAATTTTAAAACTTTTTTTTTTTATCAATCCACTGGTTGTATTAGGTTTGGTCTCTACCTCAGTATCACTCTCAGAACTCACTGGATTCGCTTCTTGAAATATACCCTTAAAGTAGTTCTGTGACTTTCCTCTTGGTCTATTAGTGTTCCTTCTTTCCTTCATTTTCATAAAATTTAAAACTGCTTTTCTTACATCCCAATCAATTAATGCTGGCATATTGTAGTGAATATATAAATAATAATTTTCTGTTGAGACTAGCATTCTTGCTCTTTCAGACGTTTTAAGTTTGTTACTAGCACTTATTAACCTTTCCACATCTGCAGATGATGGTTTTGCAGCTATTATTCTTGCTAATGCAATTTTCAAGTTACAATATTCATTAGAAATACATAATAGTTTAAGTAAATCTGATGGATTCATGTTTCTATACTTAATAATATTCTCAGACATTAAAAGCTCTTGGTATTCTTGATTGAAGAGCTGTAAATCTAAATCATAACATAATATGTTATGAACTTGTTCAATGTTTGATTGTTGTGACAGTTCGACAAATGGTTTTAAAATATTTATTGTGTCTATATCTTGTATAAATCTTTGAGATAAAAATTCCATTAGACTTTCTCTTATTTCATTAATAATTGCCTGTTTATCTCTTTTGTCTGTCACATATTTATTGTGTTGTTTAGTGCGCCATTCAGTTGTATGAAGTTTAATACATTTTAAGTATAGTTCTTCTTCTCTATTTTCTATTTTTAGTTCTAAATTATACAACCAACCACCTAATAGATTTTGAGTTTTTAATAAATCTATTTGGTCTAGTACATTTTTAGTTAATTTATCCATATCGGTTATTGTAAGACTATCTGACTGCAATTTTTTTTGGTAATTTGAAAATAAAAACAACAAATCTGCAGTAAATGCGATTATATATATATTATCATAGTTGGTCAAAAAATTTTAAACCCTATGGATGACTTTTCTGTTGATTTCATAAAATATAAAACCAACACATTCCAAGACACTAAAATTGAATTCAAAAGTTCATAAGTGAACTCAATCCACCTTACTTCAAACAATTTAGGTAATCTCATTAGGCTTAATTTTTTTTCTTCGCCTATGCAAATAAGTTCACGTGTACGCAGTCCTGATGTATGGAAAAATGTACTTATTGCAACTAATTCAATAACAATATGTTTTAATTCTCTAACACTTTCTGACACAGACTTCCATGCCAAGTTAGCTTCAAAAAAATTATTTTAAAAACTTCATCTATTGTGACCGATGGAGCCAAATGTAATACAGGGGAAAAAATGGATTATGGGCATTACTAAAACAAATGCGTCATGTGAGTGCTGATGAAAATACTGAGGCAGAGACATCAATACCTCCTTTAATGACCATATGGTGTGCAGCTCATCGGTCACAATAGATGAAGTTTTTAAAATAATTTTTTTGAAGCTACCCTCACCAAATAGTTTGTCACATCCATCTTCAATTGCTCTAATCATGCCTTTAACCCCACGCTCTTTTGGTTCATCTGCACCTAAAAATAGTAATTCTGCACTCCCTTCGTTGTTAATTATTTTTACTAAAACTTAAATTTTATCAATCTGCATCCGATCTACACTTCCGTCACATCTTAAAGAAATAGCCAAAGTTTTATTTAAAATTGTATCGATGACTCTTGATTTATCAGTATTTGCAAAACATTCTAAACAATTATGGTGACCATTCGGGGATAAGTATTGTAAATCTGTATTGTTCATTTGAATTCATTTGAAAATTAGATGCATACCTAGATACCACTACACGCCCGGGAAAGGAATATCCTGACAATGTCAATTTTTTAGCATCGTTATACACATGTATCATACAGCTACCTATTTTGGAAGCAAGATCACTATTTGCTTTTGATACAGCCAAACCAATGGCACTGGATTTGTCTTTAAGGACTTCACTGCTACTTAATGATGACAAACGATGTGCTCTAGTACATAAAATATGACCCTCAGATAACAAATGTTTTTTTTTTACATCTTCTCGATAAATTGTACCACATATTTGGGCAATGGCTGGGACCGTTTTAGAATATATTTTGTTTAAATTTGGATGTTTTGAACAAGGGATACATGTTATATAATGTCTACCATTTCTATGACTATGATCAAAAACATCAGTGTCTCCATAATATACTTTACTTACATTCAACGGTTCAGTCGGTTTAGACGTAGACGTAGATTGAGATGGTTCATCGATATTTAAGTGTGATGAAGTGATTGGGCTATTATTTTCAACAGATGTAGTAGCTGCAGCTGGAGATTTATCTCTTTTTAACCATGACTGGAGCATTTTGAACTCAAACAGATTGACAAAATAACATAGGTCATACAAAAAAAAACCAAGTTTAGAACATAGATATTCACAAATTTCCAATTATATAATAATAAATAATATGTACTCACAAATTCGCGAAACAAATTATCTGTTATCATAGTGTTAAAAATTAATTTTATAATATTAAACAATTTACCAAAACAGAAACTTCTATGTAGAATGAAAACTTTACTATGAACCATGGAGCATTGAAAATATATTGGAGTATAAGAAATAAAAACGTTAGTCAAGCAGTCAACGATACATTTTGATAAGCATGTTATCATGTTATCGCGATTGTTGATAATAATAAATTTGCCTGTTTGCAACCTATATAACTCGATCAGAGAGAAAGATAAAACCATAGACTATTAACGTACTATGATAAAAGATAAAACTAAAACGCAATAATTAATTATCAAAATGTATTTTAAAACATTTTTTTTTTCAACTTTAGACAAATATTATTTCATAATATACAATAAATATCATCATGAAATTCTTATTTTGCACTGCACAAAGTAACAATTTGTACTGCACAATGACTTTTCTCACTGCACAAAATGTGTCTCACTACACACTAAAAAAAACCCTGGTGTTGGATATTTACTAATTTACTACACTATTCGTTATTCGGTACTCACATTCAAATACGGAGAACCCTGGCTTTCATTATCGCGTCGTCGGAGCCTTGTCAATATTATATCTATCTTTCAAAGGCTACTTCACTATCTTATTTTCATTTTATTTTTTTACTAATTTTCATCAATTAAACAATCGCAATTAAAAACAGTACAATTAAGTAAACAATAACCAAGGTAAAAAGACGCATTTTCTCTTTTTTTTTTTATAACAAAATAACAGAGTACCTACCTCAATATCATTAAAACTCGATTTTCTTGGTAATTTTTTATACATTTTAATGTATTGCATTAAATTTAAATACCTTCATAATATTAAGTAGCTTTCATTTCAGGTCATTGTACGTACCATTTACATTATTAACTTCAAATTGTACTTGTATTTATAGTATGTATTAATAATTCAATGAGCAAAATTAATAATTTATTTTCGAATTATTTTATTTTATTAAATGATTTCATCATTGTAGCTAATATTAACTTCATAAAATATATTTGAAATAAGTTCTGTAGGTTTTAAGGTACAGTTTATGAAGTCTGAACGATTATAGATTTATTCATTATTGCCTAATTATGTTTTTATTTAATATTTTAAACTGTGAACCTATCATAATGTAATATATATATTATAGATTCCGACATACGGTTAAGTTTTTGGTGATAGTTGTGGCGAAGACCCAGGCTATATCAGAAGGGATATCACTGAAGGTTGCAGAAGTGGTGGTGGTGGTACCAGAAGTCTTGGAAAAAGACTGACAAGACTCTGTAAGTACCCTAAACAGCGATTTTATATTTTAGGACAGGTTAACCGCTACATTATGTTAAGGTACATTGCCTGGAGAGCTGTGTGTACCATTTTAGGTAAACTTATTGCTTTGCCAATACATTTTTGTGGTCCATTGTTGGTACACTGGAGTAATTGTCAAAAAGTGTTATGCGTACCTACTATGGTACATGTAAATACAATTTAAACACAGGAAAATATTTCGTAGCCCACCAGGCAAATAAATTTCTATTAGGTTTTGATAACTTTTAAACTCAATATTGTATGTAAAAAAAAATGTTTTAAAAAAAATAATAATAATTTTGCCATGTAATTTAAACAATGTACCAAAAATGGTACACATACCGGTTGACCTGTTAAGAACTTAAAATAATATTTGAAAATTAAAAAATAATGTTATCAGAACTTTTGAAATAATTTATTTCATATAATTTGAATATTATATTAATTTTCTATCTTAATTAATTTTTGTAACGTTATATCATTAGTATTTCAAAAACATCAAAAGTAATAATTATTATTTAATATTCAAACAATTTTAAAGATACATTTCTAGAATTTTATCCAAATATTCTTAGGCTATTCAATTAGATGTTTGTAATAAGATTAAAAGAGTCCAAGGACATTTTTCAAGAACTAAATTATTGTGTTTATTTTCTGAGAATATTAAATGCAGTTTCAATAATATTATTTTAATCTTATTATATATATATATTTTATTTTCACATTTATATATCAAGAATATAACTGTAATCACTATGCTATTTATATCAATATTGAATATTGTATATATTTAATTTAATTTATAATTATATTTTATTTTATACTATATGGCAATATATACGTAACAATACATGCCAAAATGATATGTTAAAATTGTTTAAGAGTCTACTATTTAATTAAACATTGTAGTGATCCAATATTTACTACATTACTCAAAAAGTCATAATTATATTTCACTAATATTATTTGCTAGACAAACAAAACTTAGTGTGGGCTAACTATACTACCAACGGTCCATGAAATTCCTTTTAAATTTTCTATTTGCACCTAGGATGAATTCTTAAAGAATCTGTAAAAAAAATAAATATTCTATACTAATGTAAAATACAATCAATTTTTCACAAACCAAATAGGTATTATTATTTTTAAATACACATACAAATGAATAAAACTAGCTAAATACTAAATAGTTTTGCTTATTTATTTTACAAAGTACCTACTCACAAATTAAGATTCTATAACACCCTAGCATTTAAAGATTCATTTTCTTTTTTAAACCTTGTAACTAATACAAACACAGAAAATCATCAGTAAAAATCGTTGTCACTATGCATCTTCTACTGTCTCCTTAATCATTGGCGTCCCTGGACAGTTTTCAAGGGGGGGGGGTGAACCTATTTTTAAAATCTATATATTATAAGTATTAATAATAATAATAATAAAGAATATGTATTAAAAAAAAATAATAATAATAATAATAATAATAAATAAGTACAGTTATACAATAAAATCTATTTTTCGTTTGTTTTTTTGCAAACCGCTCAATTATATTATTTATGTCTATATCTACATTTCTATGCACATGCATTAATGCCAGTCCAATTAATCTAGTTTGTCCCATTTGGCTCCTTAACCAAGTTTTTAATCTAAAAATCATGAATTGAATAGCAAGAAATTAGGTGAAAGCAAGCTAACTAAGCAAACCATTATAGCATTATTCAAATATATTTATAATGTAAGCAAATGCAAAGTAAGCAAAATTAAAGCTTAAAATATAACATAAGCATAAGCATTGTTTTTAAAACAAAATAACAATGGTATTGCTGTGAAGTAAAATGTTATGAAAATTGTAATACTAATTTATAATAAGCAACCTGCGAAGTGTTGAAAAGCTCCTCTCTGCAGAAGTGACACTTACAGGAAGTGTTCTTAATATTAATAAAAGCTTTCTTATAAGTGGAAAAATTAACGTAAGACATTGTTCAATAGATTGAAAAACATCTCTCGGAGAATTTTCACCTACAGAAATAAAATTGTGATTTAAGTAACTAGTTCATTTTACAATTAAAAAAAATTGTTGACTATAGTACTTGAAACCCATTTTGATTTCCACAGCTCTAACTCTCATTTGAAGGCGATTTGATTTATTTCCAAAAATGAAGTTTTCAGTTATTGAATTTATTAATTTATCACACATCCCTGGAGACATGTTGATTATCGAAACTGGTACTAATTGCATGAGCAAAAATACTGTACTATTTTTTTTGCTGCAGAATTTCATGCCAAGATCTTCCAGGACATTGTCAAGGATAGGTATATACTATATACACAAAACTCTTCTATAGTACTCCTCAAGATTACTAGCTGGAGTGTTGGATCAATGAGTTTGACGTTTAGCTGTGCGTGGTACTGCTGTATTCATTTCCAATTTTGTCATAATTATCTTACATTTTTCAAATAATCCTTTAAAATTTGATTCACTATTTAACCGTTTGTCTTCTAATTTTTTTATGATTAATATCTATGCAGTGTTCAGCACTACAAATATCTTGTGTTGTTCCTTGTAATATTTTGCTTGCTGCTGCTGTTACAATTAGTATTTCTGTCATTGTATACAAAGTTAATACAAAGTCACAGGTACAAATTGATGAGAGTAGTGTTTTTGCTTTTGATGATGACAACACATCATTTCATTCAGAATACATACTAAACTATCAATTATTTCAACCAGATTTAGTTGAAATTCACAAATACTTTCATGTCGCTCAATCCACCTAGTGTCACATAATCCAGCTTAAGAGTGCTTACATCCTTTAAGATTATTTTTTAAAATAAAATTTCTTTTTCATGACATATTAAAAAATGACAATATTTCTCTTATTATACTCATATTGTTTCGGACTAACTGGACATTTAATGATTTAGAAATACTCAAATTTAAGGTGTGGTTGGAACATGGACTAAAAATTGCATTTTCACAACTAGTTTGGGCGCATTGGACAGCTCCATGAACAACTGATGTCATAACTGAACACCCATCTGTTCCAATGCCAACACATTTACTTAAATCTAGTGGCATACTTTGCATAGCAGATAAAACAATGTTTCCTAAGACCCTCACCTGTTAATTTTGGCTCTATGTATGGTTTTTCATGTTCTTTCTTATATATTAATTTTTATTAACCTTTGCATTCAAAAAGTGTGATAATTTAATTTTTATAACTCTATAATTTTTTATTTTAAACATTATTAAACAACTCACCATGTAATATATGTATACCTTTTAATTTCTCTGATTTTATAGGTTATAATAATTGCATGACAATTTGCTTACGTCAAAAGTTTGCAGTATGCGGCCGACACCTGAAACAGGAGCAAAGCGAAAGATTGATCCAGAGGCTGCCCAAAGTAATAGGAGCATTAAGACAAGTAGGAGCACCATCAGTAGTGGTAGCAAAAGTAGCAGTAGCAACAACAGGAGTCATAGGAGCACGAGCTTAATAGCACCAGCTGCTGTAGTGGTAGCACCAGCAGTAGTATCCGCAACATCAGCAGTAGAAGCATCAACAGTGGTAGCAGCACCAGCAGTAGTTGCAGTGCCAGCAGCAGGAGTACCAGCTTTCGTAGTCTGTGGTGGCAAGTCGCTGAAAAAACCTCACGGTATGTATATTATTTAATATTCTAAATATTGCATTATAGTTAAATTTACAAAGTATTTTGTAATTTTAAGAAATTAAAGTGTATAGACTTCAATAGATACCTAAGAATGCTCACCCATATTTTTTCTTACATTGATAAATTAATTTAAATTCTGACTGTTAGAATTTTTAAGTTGACCTATTACCGTATTTTCAAATTTCTAATATTTTTTGTACTACTTGAGGAGTATCCTATGGCAAAACAAACTTCTATTTTTCAAAGACTCAACATTTTTTAGTTTATGATTTTTTTTGAAAATGTTGAGTTATCTAAATCAAAATTCTAATGAGTAGTTTCTGCGTTATTAAAATGCGTATACTGAGGGTAATAATAATAATCCTTAAAAATGGTTTTATATAAATAAAAACTATGTAATGTTAGATGTAATATTTATTATACTTGGCAAATTTTTACAAATTATTTATATTTATAAATTAATAGTAATTGTTAACTTTTCAAATTATCCAAACCCCACATTTACTTAACCCATTACCATAGACATATTATCCTTAAAACGGGAGCATGTAAACTCCGCCACAAGTACCTTTTTTTAGTGTACAGTCGGCCAGGAAAAAAAACAGGTAAAATTGGATTCATGTAAACTCCACCACTGAAAAAAATCAAGTAAAATTTCTCACTTAAGAAAATCAAGTCACAGTATAAAATTAACGGTAGCCGGATAACAAAGCCATGGATAAAAAAGACCCACATGTATTTTTTTACCCAAACAATTTACTACTATGTACAATTTAAAAATATAATATTTAAAAAAATAAATTAAAATTTCCTTATTGTGTAAGCAATAGCCGTCAAATATTCATCTATGTATCGGTGTAGTATACTTGTCTATGGACCGGTGTGTTAAGCCATCACCATCACTACCTATATATTTTACATTTTTTTTTTTTGTCATTTAAATTGCCTATTGCAATATCTACATAAAATGAACACCAAAACACCAATAAGTAGGTATATAGATAATACAATTAATATACGGCGATAAGATTAGTCCAATTATTAGTGAAAAATGGTCAGACAAAATAGTTTATTGTATAGCCTACTAATAATAGTATAATATTAGAGAGACTTAAAATGTGTCACTTAAAAAAAGACACGTATTCTGGTATTTTCTTCATATTTTCTTTATATAGTTTAATTTTCAAAATATTTCGCTTATTTTTAGCTATAATTGTCTTAAATTATATTAATTTTATTACATTTTAAAATAAATAATAGTACATTGTAGTATGACATTTGTAGTAAATTGCTTTTGTACAAAAATAAATCCTTGTCTTTTTATCGGTGGATTTTTTATCCGTGGCTTTTTTATCTTAGATCCAAAATTAATACACAGGACTGGTATGTACATTATTATAATATCCCAAAAAATAGATAATAATTAATAAAAATAATAATTGCCAGAACAAATCATCCAAATTGTCACGTGTATTAATGTATTATCATAATAAATAATTGTAATAATCATAAAATATGTATTTAGCAACCTAGGTATGTTATGTTATGTTATAATATGTGGAAATGTAAACTAAAATAATGAGATACAAATTGTAGTTATTCTGACATATCCATTATAGGTAAGAAAATAAAAATGGCGTTTCATTTCCTTTTTAACTAACAGGTATTCTGACGGAGTTTACAATCGCCCCTTAAAACGCAAAGTTACAGTTTTGATCTAGGTCAAAATTTAGATACATCAAAATTCTCAAAATAAATATCTGCTTGATAATTAAAAATGGAAAAAAGAAGATTCCAGTTTGAAAAACTGAAGTTTGTATTGTCACAGGATCATTCTCAAGTGGTACAACAAATATCAATGATTTGAAAAAATAGTCTTCAAGTGTATTAAAAATTCCAAAAATCTGAATTTTAATACATACATAATTTAAGCATAAAAATAAAATAAGAATGCTTAAAATATCACCCTGTATTCATAAAATACCATAGAATATATAATATTTAAAAAAAAGCTTGTCCTGGTGGAGTTCTTAATTTCTTATCATTATCACCTTAAGAATACAAATAAATTAAAAAACAATCTGTTGTTTATACAAATACTTTAGATCAGTAAAACCATTTCATGTAATAATCAAATTATAATTCTATTATCGTTGACAAATACTTAAGATAAGTTTTGAATGACTTAAATTATCAAACTGAGTTATATTAATATTTAACAGGCGAAATTAATTAATACCAGTATACATGACACTTTTTTGTCTAAAAACTGTTTGACACTTCAATAAACGTATGTTAACATTTTACTTATATCTAATAATATATGTTCATGATCTAATGCAGGTATTAAATGTTTATGTTTATGCAAGTCTATTAATACAGATTGGTTTTAAATAATCTTCAATATTTTTACATTGAGTTTTTCATAAAGTGGAATAGTATTAGTATAGATTGATTCAGCAAATATTTAAAAAAAAACAATATATTTTAACTGCTGGTAGCAGTGTAACTCCTACGAGGATGGTGGCTACTTACGACGGACTCGTGCCGGAACCGAAGTAGGATGATATAAATTTTAAAAAACAACAACGCCAATATATAACAGCACAAAGCGTTATGAGATATATAACTCATAACTAGTCAATAATAATAATAACAGTTTCAGTTTCTCCACACAAAAAGATACAAATAAGCATTAAGAGGACGTAACACTGGCATTTTTTGTCTCAATCTTACTTAGCAAATGTACGTAAGCTCAGCAGCTCACGAGTAGCTTCAATAATTCTAAAATCTAAAATAAGCCTGGTTTCATTAAATACATACAACTATTTTCATAAAACACCATTAATATAATTTACATGTCTATCCCATCAAAGTCTATACTCTATAATTAGGCTTAAGCTAATATATTTTAATTCATTGACTTTATCAAGTTGTATACATTTCAGGTCGAAATTGGTATTTGAATTAGGATTACATTTTAGAGAATGGACAGTCGAATTATGTTCATGCAAAACATTATTAACAAGTGAAATAAAATAGATAAATTTAGGTTTTAGTAAATTTAACTCTCAGATATTCTTAGAATACAAAAGATACACGTTTTTTAAAATCGCATTTGCTTCATGGTTCAAACTATCAACTCTAGGTTCAAATATTAGTAGAACCATATCATCAGCAACTACTAAGTAATTCCATACTACTATTTATATTTATATTCAATATATCATTAATGTAAAAAGGTAAATAATAGGGGGCCTAAGACTGTTGCCACAAGCTATGTCTCTAGCTATACAATAACAATCATTTACTTAAATAATTGAAATTATTAACAGATATTATGAAAGGTTATAACTTTATAAACAACTCCAAGGACATTTGACTAAAAATTCTAGCATTTTTAGCAATGACTCATGATTTACACAATCAAAAGTGCTTACATTTCAGAAAAATACCCATAACTTAATAATTCACATCAATATATTTACAAACAAAATTATCCAGTTTCCAAAGCTTATCGATTATTGACAAACCAGTTACAAAACCAAAAAGTAAAATTAAAAAAATTGACTTAAAAAAAAATTAATAGACTACTTTTGATACACTTTGAAAATTTTTGATTAAATTAATGATAGTGAGATAGGTCTATAATTTCCACTTGATAATATATTACCTGATTTAAATAATGAAGTAACAATACATTAATTAACTCAAAAGGAAAATGATTCATACAGGTTTAATAATAATTAACTATAATGGTCTACAAATAAAATTAAAAATTTTCTTTAGAACTTTTCTTTATCTTATCAATAAACTCAGTTATCGTTTCACAAATAATTAGATAAAGAATAATGATATACTTTCTCATAATAATTCAATTATTAAAATGGACAAAATTAGAATTCATATGTTCTATTTCGTTTACAAAAAAGTGTACAAGTACATTACAAAATGTCACTTGAAGATTCCATGACAATGCCATTTGGTGAAAATTATGAAAACATTAATTTTTAAATCATATTATAATTCAGAAACTTTTATTCTCAACATTATTCAACAACTGACCGAGTGATATATGTACACCTTCCTGTAAAATCACCAAATATTATGATTTTGCAGTTAAGATTGAAGCTGATGCAGAAACTATCATCAGTAGTAGGAGCACTAACAGTGTGGCACCAGCTGCTGTTATAGGATCGCCAAGAGTAATAGGAGCACCACCTTTAGTGAGCAGTGCTGGTGGTGTCAATCGTCACAGCAATTCGCTGACAGGCCTTCTTAGTAAGTAAATTATTCATTATTGTAATTATTGCATTACAGTTAAATTCATGAAGTACCTCTAAACAATTATAAGCAACAAGTGAATACACTTCAGTATATATCTTTACATACATGGAATAAATGTGATAATTGTATTTTGAATTTAAATTATAACTCAATAACATTTATTTTTGACATTATTCAACAACTGACCAAGTGATTTATGTATACCTTGATGCAGAAGCTGAAATAAAAGAAGAAAGTCCGAATGAGATAGATTACCTGAAACTAGTGGACCAGCTGTACACAGGGAGGCAGAGGACGGAAAAAAATAATCGTATGCGGCCGACCGATCGAGGAGCTGTACCAGAGAATATCATGGAACCGTATAATTTATCATTCTGGCTTGGTAGTGATGCAGAAGTTGCCAGCAGTAGTAGGAGCGCCAACAGTGTGGTACCATCTGCTGTTGTAGGATTGCCAAGAGTAAAAGGAGCCCCACCTTTAGTAAGCAGTGCTGCTGGTATCAATCGTCACAGAAATTCACTGACAGGCCCTTTTAGTAAGTAAATTAGTCATTGTTGTAATTATTGCATTACAGTTAAATTCATGAAGTACCTCTTAACAATTATAAGCAACAAGTGAATACACTTCAGTATATATCTTTACATACATGGAATAAATGTGATAATTGTATTTTGAATTTAAATTATAACTCTATAACTTTAATTTTCAACATTATTCAACAACTGACCAAGTGATATAGTATACCTTCCTGTAAAATCACCAAATATTATGATTTTACAGTTAAGATTGAAGCTGATGCAGAAACTATCATCAGTAGTAGGAGCGCCAACAGTGTGGCACCAGCTGCTGTTATAGGATCGCCAAGAGTAATAGAAGCACCGCCTTTAGTGAGCAGTGCTGGTGGTGATAATCGTCACAGCAATTCGCTGACAGGCCCTCTTAGTAAGTAAATTATTCATTATTATAATTATTGCATTACAGTTATATTCATGAAGTACCTCTTAATAATTATAAGTAGCAAGTGAATACACTTCAGTATATATCTTTACGTACATGGAATAAATTTGATAATTCTATTATGAATTCATATTATAACTCAATAACTTTTATTTTTGACATTATTCAACAAGTGACCAAGTGATTTATGTATACCTTGATGCAGAAGCTGAAATAAAAGAAGAAAGTCCGTATGAGATAGATTACCTGAAACTAGTGGACCAGCTGTACATAGGGATGATGATGACGGAAAAAAATAATCGTATGCGGCCGACCGATCGAGGAGCTGTACCAGAGAATATCCTGGAACCGTATAATTCATCATTCTGGCTTGGTAGTGATGCAGAAGTTGCCAGCAGTAGTAGGAGCGCCAACAGTGTGGCACCATCTGCTGTTATAGGATCGCCAAGAGTAATAGGAGCACCACCTTTAGTGAGCAGTGCTGGTGGTGTCAATCGTCACAGCAATTTGTTGACAGGCCCTTTTAGTAAGTAAATTATTCATTGTTGTAATTATTGCATTACAGTGAAATCATGAAGTACCTCTTAATAATTATAAGCAACAAGTGAATACACTTCAGTATATATCTTTACGTACATGGAATAAATTTGATAATTCTATTATGAATTCATATTATAACTCAATAACTTTTATTTTTGACATTATTCAACAAGTGACCAAGTGATTTATGTATACCTTGATGCAGAAGCTGAAATAAAAGAAGAAAGTCCGTATGAGATAGATTACCTGAAACTAGTGGACCAGCTGTACATAGGGATGATGATGACGGAAAAAAATAATCGTATGCGGCCGACCGATAGAGGAGCTGTACCAGAGAATATCATGGAACCGTATCATTTATCATTTCAGCTTGGGGGTGATGCAGAAGCTGCCAGCAGTAGTAGGAGCACTGTAAGAAATAGGAGCACCAGCAGTAGTAGCAGTTCCAGCGATGATGGCACTTACTTGTTTAAGTGATTTTTAAATGGTTTGAAGTAAAATATAGCATGTTTTCATCAGGTTTTTTCAGCTTAAAAATTCTTATTAGAATAATTTAACCTAATTGTGTCTATTGGGGTGGTTTATGAGGAATGAGGTTTGCCCCAAAAGTTTTGTAATCATATTACAGCGTTATGCATTATTTATTAGGTTTTTTTAAAAATTTTATTGAATAATAGCAAAATATTTATGTATCATTGACAATGTTGTTGCCAATTTATAATTTATATTTTCTGATAAAAGTTTAATTATTGAAAATTCAGTAGGCTCATTTTGTCAAGTATACTACCTACAGCAATTCATTGCATTTTATCTAGAATTTTAAGTTTTCTATGATAATCTTAGTTATAACCATTAATATATTCTTACACTCCAATCTATTTTTTTTTGATATTTTTATATGTATTAAATTAGTTATTAGTTGTAACTTGTAAGACTCAGGCACGCCCGGAGGGGGTGGCCAGGTGGTGCAAATGCACCACCTGAGAATTTTAATAATTTGGATTTTTCAAATAAATAATAAAATATAAAAATTCCTTCTCTGTAAATTTTTAATTTATGCCCATGATTATTCCCAATATAGTAAATATTAAATACTTATTAGCTATTCTGGCATCTGGCTATTCTGAGATACTACCGTCTGCCGCATTTTAGTACTGTGTACAGTCACGTCTAACCACGCGTCTATTATTAATACATTTATTTTGGTCATTAATAATATTTTATGAATTTCGTTATCTGACATCTATTCTGTGGTACACTATTATTTATATATATATATATATATATGTATGTGTGTGTTATACATCTAAAATTTTATCTAATTTTTATATTTTATAAGAAGTAATAAATAAAATGAGTTGTTTTAAATATATTTTGTTATACCCATTATTGATGATAAATAATATATGTCATGTAATAAGTGTTAGGGGGTGTGGGGGGCAAAGCCCCCCACATCATATATTGATATTAAAAATATTTTGCACCTAGTGAGCTACATCTCTGTGGGCGTGCCTGGTAAGACTTATTATTAATTATAATTATTCTTATTTTATTTATTTAAGACATTATGAACATTTCAACAGATAGTGTAAGATATAAGATAACATTTGCATACAATTGTTTAAAATTAATTAAAAGTGATTTTGATTTTATTGTTTTTAATAATGTATGTTGTTAAAAAACATAGGTTTCTGTCAAATTTAAATACAATGTTACACATTTCTGTAAGAAATCAAATTATTTCACCTACATGTGAATTTTTTTTTCATCAATTAAACAAACCAAAAATTGGTTAAGAGAGGTTTAATTATTAGTCTTAAAAAACGTCATATGTATTAATGGAATTTATTAATAAATAAAATATTCTTTTATTATTTAATTATTATTTATTTGTAATTGTTATTTAAATTATTTAATTCACTATAGATTATGGCGGCTCCAAGCGGTTAGATTTTCCAGGTAATTTAGACCTAACAAATTCAAATCACTTTGCAAAATGTAAATTAAATTACTAGAAGTATGTTAATTTCCGCTAGTTTATTTAATAATTTATTTAACTGTGTCAAGTGCTTGTACATACCTACGTGAGCTATAGAACAACGGGTTTTAACCATATTCTTATCAAGTCTAACCAATTTTTATATCATTTTTTTTTATTTCGTCCCCTTCAATTAATATATAATAGAACATAAATAATTGTTGAATACTAATACTTAGATAAATAATACAACTAAAAAGAAAAAAGAAAATGTTTATTAATAATTTGTTCATTTTAGTGGGAAATTTGTGATTGAATTTTCGAAATTATAGTTGCCATATTAATTTTTATATTAGATACTGCTACCCTTAGTCTGGTTATACGTTTAATTTTGTCCGATATTCATTTTACCGTGAGGACTAAAAATTCTATTTTCAAGTAGAAGAAAATGGTAGGAATGTTAATAAATCTATTTTTAACAATTCTTATACAAATTGTTGAATACATTTTGATTTGAATAACCATTTGTTCATTATTTTTTGGGACTTCCAAACTATCTTTCGCGACTCGCTTGGAGGTCACATTAATAATCATTTATAACTATAAATGAAAGGTGATATTATGATTTTTTGGCAAGCTAAAATTACTTTTCAGATCACTCAGTACAGTCTCCAAAAAAATTTGATGTGGGGTGTCATACAAAATTGCTGACTCCAAATACCATATTTACCGACTAGAAAAAAAATTAATAATCAGATCAATAATGACGAGTTGTAAAATAATTTTTTACCGTAATTTAAATACATTTTATACATATGTTAATTTAGTTAAAAACAATTGTATTATAAATCCGTGTGTAAATAATCATATTTATCAATTAGGTAGGTATAGGATATTTGTTTAAGTGGCTGTAAAGGTAGAAAGTAAGTAATGCTATGTACTGACGTCCCGTCATATACGTATATACTTAAGATAGCAAGGGGAACGCATGAGATTGTGACTCGCCGGGATGTGATTGACCTCGAGAAAGCGCTTTGAAAGATTTAGGAATGACAACTAAAATAATTGTGTGCGTAGTTCTGAAAATTCGACAACCGAAATTGCGTTGCGAAAGATATAATATGGAGATGATTGAAAGCATAGATATCAATGGGCATATAATATGAATATAATAAATATTATGTTACTATAACTAAATAGCCGTCAGATAAAATATCGACAGCGACAACCGCATATGAGGAGATCGTTTCCTGGAACTCGTACGCACACGTGCAATAGTAAACGGGGTTAGCGCTATCTCATCGTTAATAGAGGAGTGGAGATTAGGCCTATAAAACAGGGACCCAGTCACTCGATATTTAGACGTGATTTACCAGATCCAGTACTAGCACCTCACGCCAGTCGACTCTTTGATTAATTTCAGTGTTATAAAAAATATTCTATCAGTTTTACATGTCAAATAAAGTCTATGTTCATAATAATCAAAATTGACTTAGAAATTATTTACACCTTGTCATCTTTCATCTTGTACACCACAATCTGTGGGCTGGACCACTACAAGAATATAAATTAATAATTTCAATCTAATTCCACCATGTTCTAATTTTCTATAAATTATAATAATAATAAAAAGTTGGGCAAAATAGTGTGAAAGGTGGTCGGTGGGTAAGTGTACCTAATGGATGTGTTAGTTTTGAATTCCATGATATTAAATCATTTTCTTCAAATACGTTTTTTAAGACAGTTTGTCAAACTTTATTACAATATAAATTAACTGCATCATTAGTTCCGATCCAAAACCCTTCGTGCTATAATTAAACACCCTTCTGCGTATCCAATCAGTTCTTACATAATAATCTTGCCATCTCGTCCGTCTACTATGTAACTAGTACTATTTTTACTGGTGGGTTACCCTGGCACCCCAATGACTAAATTCTTATTTTTTTTTTATGACCATTAATTGTACTATAATTTGTACCAATTTGTACCGTATCAAAATGATAATTAATAATTATATTATAATACATTTTGTGGTTTTGTTATAGTTATATATATTTAAGAGAGATCAGAGATCTGGGCGGGAAAATATGTGTATAATTGATTGTCTTGTGGAATTACTTTTTAGAGACTTTATACAAATTCTTAAGTTGGTGTAGGTGGTACAAATCAGTACAAATTATAGTATAATTAATATTTAAAACATTTTTTTACAATTTGTTGTGCTAAATCGGTAAGTTAGATTAGGTTCGTTAAACTATTTATATTCTAAATGATAATAATAATTTCAAATTTGTGTACGTAAAAAAATATTTTTAATTTTATACCATATGAAATGTATATAATAATACATTGTATTAGAAATTTTTTTAAATATTTTTTTTATGACTACACAAACTTATTCTCACTTCTGGATTGTAGTAGGAAATTCAATTAGGTACAAAATACAAATATTGTCCATGATACAGTACCATGCTTATAAATACTCAGCCCGACAGATAAAAGGCACAAATCCATCTGTATAAGTAAACAAAAATTGTTAAAAGTCAAATTAGCAACTGGGATGCTGGTGTAACGTTTAGTGCTCCGACGGAAATTTAAATAATAAATCTGAAAAGTTTTAACAATAATTTTGTAGTTTTGTTATTGTTATGATTAGAACGAGAAAATATGTGTAAAATTGAATTTTATTATGGAATTATTACAAAGTAAAAGTATTCCTATAAGTCGGTGGTACAAATGGTAAAAAATATAGTAAAATTAATGGTAAAAAAAATTGTTAAAATTCCATTTTTCAGTAATTGGATTGCTGGTGTAACGTTACCCTGGCACCCCGGCGGAAAATCGATTTTTCCGGAGGAAATACTTTGGTACAAATTCTGAAACTTACTGTACAAATCGGTACAAATTATAGTACAATTAATGGTCATAAAAAAAAATAAGAATTTAGTCATTGGGGTGCCAGGGTAACCCACCTTATTTTTACAGCCGATTCAACTTAAATGTTTGAAACCACACTAATCCCTTAATCAAAGGCTTGAATCAGCAAATATATTCCGTAACCCCAGGAAAAGATTAAAAAGGCAGTGGTAATCCACTAAGTTTTCAAGTTGTAATTCTATTTTACAAGAATATGCCTATGTGGCTATGTACATAATATATGAGTAACTGACCAAGTGCCTCTATTGGGAGGCTTTTTTCCGTCCCTTTTCAAGCCATAAATTCATCCATCTTTTTTACTTAATGTTCTAGTTTAGAACTGTAAAATATATTGCAAATTTTTTTTAAAAAATGTTTATTAGGCCGCGATTGAAATAGCTCATTTCCCGCCGTTGCTGCACAATTTACTATTATACACGATAACGATAAAAAGTATAGAAGAATATGTAAACTTATTTCAAAATATTATGTTTCATTGACTTAAAATCATGTGAAAAAAAAATTATAGTGAAAGAAAATACTTTTAATATCTTTAACCAAATTATTGTTGTTACCTTACTTTAATTAATTTAAAGCATAATTGGTTATTTAAACAAAACAAAAAACAAGTTTTTCCAATTATCTGAGCTTAACGTTTCAATACTTAGATTAAAGTCTATAGATATGATTAGGATTATCTATACAATAGAAATACTTTTATTAGCATCTAGTAATAACTATGACAGCTCAACAATTATATAATATAAATATTAAAGATGTTTAAACTATAATACCTGTACATAAATGCTAAAGTCATAGTCACATTTATGAGTGTGTTAAGAAAGTATCGCTTTATCTGAAAGTTTAGGTAGGCTAACCGGTAAAATGTTATGATATTGTAAATGTCTTATACTTTCCAGTTTGTTTTTATTGCAAACAATAACCATGGGAATCGTTTAACATATTATAAATAATACATATAACATCTTAAACATTTGCCATTAAATGAAACATTTATGTAAATCTTATTGATAAAAGTATACAAATATTTACTCCGGATAAATCGCTATAATTTTGAGATTAACAATAAATATTGTTTTTAATTATGGCTGGAGATGATTCTAATGACCTGCATGTATGTATGTATTACCTAACTTGTTTACAAAATAAAATAATCCAACAAAAGTCATTCACCTGGATGGATCAAAAGGGCAATACTTTCGGTTCCTGAAAACAAAAATCAGGATTACAGAATTAAAACATTACTAATTCTATTAGGTTTATACATTTTCCTAACCCTGAATTTGATTAACAAATTGAAGTTTTTTTCTTTTATACTTTTAACAATATTTATGAAATATCATCTGCATATTCTTTAAATATAGAATCAAGTTAGTAAAATATTGTAATATGTTAAGTATATTTACAAGAATAAATAATAATAATAATAATAATAATAATTATTATTATTATTATTATTATTGTTATTATTGAATTGTCTATTCTTTAAAAAGTTCTGAACTTGTTAAAATGTATTTGATTTAATTATGACTTTATACTTTTGAAAATTTTCATATTGTACTCTACATTTGACGAAACAAAAAACATTAGATAATAATAACAAACATTTTCAACTTTAAAATATCCCTGATGGGATTTAAAGTAGTTTATACCTACAACAAATTGACCGATATTTCATTTTTTCCTTAAGTCTCAGATACAAAAAAACTGCTACCCAATTAATAGAATGACTGAAGAAATAACAAATTATTTTGAAAAAACTGGTGTTATTGCTAAAGTAACTGATGTTTTAAAGCTGTTATACGAAATGAATGAAAAACCAGATGATCCTTTGGAGTATGTATAGCAAATTTTCCTGTTAATATATTTTAACTATATGTTTATTGGTAGTAAATTAAACATACTTCCTGGAGGTAGATTGTAATTTCGAAAAAAAATTCAATTTATAAGCTAGACTATGCTCCTTAGAATCACGTTTCGATTTAAAATTAAATGTGTCCAATTTAAAATATAAATGTAATTTCATTATTTAGTGTGGTTTTTGAAAAAAAATATATTAATTTTAAGGTTCTTTAAGATTGAAAATTGAAAATCGACTTCCTAAATATCCTAGATTATTTGCCAAAAATCCATACATATTATACAAAAAATTAATATTTGACATTCCGAAGTATGTGTAATTTACCACCGCTTAGTCTAAAACGTATAAAAAAAATTATACTTCAATCCACAAAATTATAAATTATAAAAAGCGGGTAAGTGAAGGTCACCTTGCTGTACAGTAGGTTACAAGTGAATTACTGGAGTGGATGGTGTTAATTTGAATTCAATGATATAAAATCGTTGTATACCTACGAAAAACTATTCTGAAGACAGACCGTCTGTTAGCCTATAATATTACTTAGTAAGTAATTTAGTATATTTGATGATAAGTATAGGTAACCTACCCTAGTATCCTCGTACGTGTAACCTTTGAAGTACCCGTTTGCCAAAATATTGAATTTACTCGCCACACAAACACCAAATCCAAACTCGTTTCACATATTACTCAATACCCATGTGTAAAGGTAAATTCAAAATTACATGTAAGTACGTTGCACACATACACGGAAACACGGAATATCGTCTTCTTGCTCACATTTCAACACAAAAACTCGTAGGTATTCACGAAATTGTGCTAATGGTTAGGTAAATAATACCTGAATAAAATAATCCAGTGCTAACGCTAGGGTCGAAGTATCAAACCACGCATATACTCACGAAAAAAACAAAATACACACACACACACAATTGTCGTAGAGTAATGAGCCACTTGTCGTGTACACCGATTATTTCGACGTACACAAAAAACGAACAAGTATAATAATTATCAGAACATTTAATTAACACTGGTGTCTGGTGGTAATCGACTCGCACGATCACCATCATTGACTCCTCATTTGTCTAGTACTATGACTTGAATGAATCACTGAACCTAGTTTCTGTTTTGCTACATGTGCTACAACTTACTGACTAATACTTAATACTAAATATTGTTACATACATGTTTACTTAACCCAGTTACTATTTTTAGTATTAATCGTTTTTATATTTATAAATTACTAGCTGACCCGGAAATTCTTCGCTATTGCAAGATTTCTTAGATATTAAATTGCTATTTATTTTCTGGATGTTAAATAATTATTTTTATTTTAGACCACTTTTAGTCACGCCTTCGTGGTAATGTAGCCATATAAATTTAGCGTCGCCACCGCGGATTCTTCATAATGTTAAAAAAAAATTATTTTGTATGTAGTGGTAAATGTATATGTATACTGTATGTAAATTGTATATGTACATTTTGTAGGTATAACTATGGATGAAACAAATTATGCCAGTATTTTGATAATTCAAAGACTTAAAAAATTTCTTTGTAAACAACGTTATCAAATTTTTCTGGATCGGGGGCAAAAATATAAAAATTAAATTTGGATGTCACACGTGACAAGGCGACGTATAGTTGACCGTGAGAAAAACATTGAATGCTCAGGTCAATTCCAGCAACGTTAAGTGTTTGTCCCTGTGCTTTATTTATAGTCATTGCAAATGCTAATTTAACGGGAAATTGAATACGTTTAAACTTAAAAGGTAAATCTGAGGGTATAATTGGTATTCTTGGCATTAAAACAATTTTTCCATTAGGCTGTTAATATTATGCACTCAAGTAATCAACTTCTCAATCTTTTGATTTGTTATCTTGTACCATTGAAAAGTGTGGGTGGGCTCAAATTTCTCATTAAAATAATAGGTGCCCCTATTTTTAAAATCAGTGTAGGTGGTGGGACTCCAGAAGGCGTTAAAGAGTTAAGAAATTCAGTTGTTAAATGGACTGCATCCTCTTTTTCTAAAACTGTATCAACTGAATAGTACATTTGTGATTGAGCGTCAAACCTAGATAGAATCAAATCATTTAATTTGTCGACTTGCTCATTTGTTGGTGACAAAATAACCCTTTCTTGAAACCATTTCAATGATTTAGAAGATATATTTTGAATGTTCGGGTACACGTTTTGAATCAATTTTGTTATAGTGGGTACTGAATTACAGAAACTTTTAATATTTATTTTATCATTCGTTGCTTGAAATTTGCCTTTGCCTATTAAAAGTAAATCATTGACAACATTTATATTATCTTGATCTGTATATAGCACTCTCATATTAGTTTTAAGTTCTAATATTTTTATATAAGGCCATAAGTAGGATCTTTTCTAAGACGCGTTGACTTCATCAGCTAGTTAATAAAATAACAATCAAAGTCGAGAAAAGACGTGTTCTACCGAAAACAATAGAAAAGTATTACACAGTCCATACAACGAAAATAATATCAGTGTACGTCGATGTTAAAATATAAATATGGAAATTTATACCTATATCTGTGGTTGTCCAGTTTGATTGTTATTTTTATTCAGCCAGCGACTATTCTTACTAAAAAAGGTATAGGTATACAATTTACACATTTATTTTAATTAATAATAACTAATGATTTATTAACTTTATCGGACTAAATTTTTGCTTCAAACCTTCTCTGTGATGTCCTCTTTGATTAAAAAAAAAAATTGCTCGACGATTGAATAAGTAGTTTCGGAGTTTATCCCGAACAAAAAAAAGCGACTTCATTTTATGTAGTAGTATAGATACAACAATATATTATGTTGTTGTCTGCCTTACATACTACGACATATTTTTCGAACATTTTTTTTATCGACATTAAGTAATTTAAAAAAAAAACTGATAATAATCGTACATTTCATATGCTCTAAAATAGTTCAACGTGAGTCAAACTAATTTGATAATTAAAAAAAGTGAATAGAAAATGCTAATATAAACATTCAGTAAACATTTTGTAAAAAACCGATTATAAGTAAAATTTCAGGCTTTTTCTTAATTGTTCGTTTGTTTTTCATAGCGCTTTTGAAATTACTGAGAATTTTTATGTGCACCTCCCAAAACCACTAACTATATTCATTTTACCGCCGGAAGAGATTCTGAAGTTTAAAATCGAATCTTTATTCGACTAAGCATTTATAGCGTACACAAACACAAATAAAAATAAATAAATCACTCATACATTTCTGCTCCTCTCAGAATTTAAAATATGAGTATGTACCTACTGTACCTAATACCTATATATATTTAATAGATTATTTAAAAATTATATTTTTCAGTTTCTCAGTGATTTTATTTCACTAAAATTAATATTATTGTTTTAATTTATTTGTGTGGGTTAAAAACTAAAGGTAAATAATATCTGCCCGTGGTTTCAAAATGTAAACATTTTCGTTAATTCTAAATAACTTTTACCCGACAATGATTTAAACTTAAAATCCTGAAAACTGATGATTTGAACTTATTTAATAGTTGTTACACCTTTTGAATTATGTAAGGTAAGCTTGAGTAAGTAAAATCGTACAACCTGCTATAACCTGGCCATTGGAACAATAAGTCAAGTACAATTATATATGTTACGGACAAAGTGGGAAATTCGGGCAATGTATACAATGCCCGGGCATTGTACACAGTGACCGGGCATTGTATACAATGTCCGAGGTATATTGGGCAATGTAAATTGTGAAGTATTTATACAAATAATCTGCATAATATTATTTTACCTAATCAATGATATTATATACTAATAATTATTATACTCGTTTATATGGTTATTTATATAAGAGTATTAGAATTTTTTTTTAATTAATTAAATTTTAAATGTATTTAAAGGTAATGCAATAAAATATTATGTGTATAATGTTCAGTTATATGATATTATACATGAAGTTCATTTGTCAATTGGACATGGAGGTAGAAATAGAATGGAACACGAGATTAATAAAAAGTACAAAAATATAACTAGAGATGTAATAATTTTATACTTAAATAATTGCGAATCGTGTAAAAAGAAGGGAAGTACAGCTAAAAAAGGGTTGGTTGTAAAACCAATCATATCTTCTGAAATGAATTATCGCTGACAAATTAACTTGATCGACATGCAAGCACAATCAGATGTCGATTATAAATTCATATTAGTTTATCATTATCATCTAACAAAATATATTATGCAGATTATTTGTATAAATACTTCACAATTTACATTAACCAATATACCTCGGACATTGTATACAATGCACGGACACTGTGTACAATGCCCGGGCATTGTATACATTGCCCAAATTTTCCACTTTGCCCGTAACATATATACTACATAGGTAGGTGCTATAAAAAATTGTTATGTTTTACTCATTAAACATTTTATTATTAATAACATTTTAAAATTTCCACATTTGATGTTGAAAACCAATTAATATGATTGTATGGCTTGTGGTCGCAATATTGGGAAAACAAGTACCAACTGTATTATAATAACATAATTGTTTTAGGCAATACAATTTTTCAGGTTATCTCGTTTTCTATTTTTAAAAATATGGAGATGTTCAAGCAACATTTTAGATTCCGAGTGGAACGATGAATGTATTGATTTTACAATGATGTGTGTTTTTTTATTTTTTTTTTGTGTCTGTCATCACCTTTTAGGACAGTAAAACTGCTTCGATTTTCTTCAACAGCAACTTTTCTAATTGGAAAGTGAATCTAGTTGGTGCTTTGGGGGGTCAAAAGTAAAAATTTCCCAGTAGTTTTCAAAAGCGACGTGAAAAACAAAAGAAAAATTAAGGAAAAACGGGAATTTTTACGCAAAATCGATTTTGGTTTTTGATGTAACTCTAAAAAAAATGGCCGCAGATATATGAAATTTTCACAGGTTGTTTATATTTGCATTTTCTATGCACGGTAAAATTTTGAAAATAATTTGACTCTTTTTGAACTGTTTACGGACATTGTCAGTTTTCAATTTTTTCAATTTTTTTTTTCTATAAATATCAATAAAATTTTATTTGTTGGTTAAAAAAACTTAAAAATTTAATACAAAGCTCCTAGTATATTGTTTCAAAGGCAGATGAAAAAAATTAAAAATCCTTAGTCACAGTTTTTTTTTATAAACATTTAAAGTTCAAATATTGACAAAATACGTAAAAAAGACGAAATTTTGGAAATTATTTTAAGTTAGAAATTCATAAAAAATTTAAAACTAAGATTTTAAAATTTAATACAAGATTCCTCATGAGTTTGTCTACCTTTATCAAAAAAAAAAAAATGTTTAGAAGAAAGTCAAATTAAATTTTTATGAGCGTTTGAAATTCATATTTTTACAACATTTGATATTCACTCGATTTCTCATGTAACGATTTTCAGTTTTTGTTGTAATTAAAAAACGAATGGCTGTAGATACTTGAAAATTTCACTGAATGTTGATAATAGCATTTTCTAAACACAATAAAATTTTGAAAATAATTTGACTCTTTTTGAGATGTTTAAGGACATTGTCAATTTTCAATTTTTTTAGTTTTTTTTTCTATAAATACCAATAAAATTTTATTTGTTAGGCGAAAAAGCTTGAAAATTTAATACAAGGGTCCTGATATATTTTTACAGTAGCAATTGTAAAATATTTAAAATACATTGGCACAATTTTTTTTTATAAGCATTTAAAATTCGAATTTTGACTTAGATATATTGGTATTAATATGTCTTAAACCAAGACTGACATACCGTCTCCACTCAGAATCGTTTTTCTTATACAATGATATTGTATCATTGAATTCAAATTTAATTCCATCCATTATACAGTGACCCACTTGTAACCTACTGTACAGCAGAGCGACATCCACTTACCCGCTTTTTTAAAAACTGAACTTAAATTTGCCTACTCAAATTAAATATTTTGTTTTTAGTTTTCCAGTTAAGATTGTAAAAAAAAAAACAACTAAACATAATATTGATGATTTTGAAATACACCCTATACTAAACCCACTTTAAAGTCTAGATACCTACATTAAAGTCTTAGTTTTAATTGAAATTCTTATTACTTGATACTACTTTATTATGATATGCAGTGTAGGTTGAAACAAAAACAAATTATTAACGAGTATTTTTAGGACTCTTTAGATCCCAGGCCAACATTGTCGATAGGTTAAAAGCAAAAGTATTCCCCACTAAAGCTATTCTATGTGACTATATTTCTATATAAATGATTATAATATGTATAATATGCGTAATATGTATTTTAGCGGTTTAGTTCATATAGAGAGCTTAACACACACACAAACGTCATTCAAGATAATATATTCTGAGGTTCTTAATTTATCCCATAACCTACCTACCTACAATAAAATATTAACATTATCTACAGTTTAGAATAATTGATGTACCCATAGTTGAAAATTAAATTTCACAACTCAAAATACGGTGTTGTTAATGACATTAAACACATAAAAATGTAAAAAAAAATAGATTTATGCGTACTAATATGGCTGAAGTTATCCCAGAAAAGATGGAGTTAACAAAGTTAGAAGAAGAGTATGATGCCGTGATGCAAGAGATTGCCATACTTCAACAAGAGAACACGAGTATGACCAACAGACTCAAGGAATTAGAAACAAATGAAAGTGATAATAATAATATCGAAGAAAATACTATTATTGGTTTTAGCGATAATGATTAAAAATACATGAAAATACTGAACAAAATAATAAAAAATAAACTTTAATTTTTATTATTTGTGTATATTTTGTGATTAGGTACCTTAATTCTACCAAATAATTTTTTAAACAAGAAATACAATAAAATATACATTCATACAAATAATTAAAAGATTATAATATACGTAATATACTTTGGAAATTATATGGTGTATAGAAAATGGTAGTATAAACATTCAACGAAAATATCATGTATTTGAGGTAGAAAACCAAAATCGATTTTTCGAAAATTAAGGTTTTTGTTTTTCTCGTCACCTTTGAAAACAACTGGGAATTTCAATTTCGTCCTTAAATTTCAATTACACTGTAAATAGATTAACCTTCAAACCGGTAAAGATATCCAAGTTGAAAATCAAAGTATTATTTCTAGTATTTTAGAATACTTATAGTGTAAACAGACTCAAAAAAAAAATTTGGAAAGATGATGTTGCTCTAGTGCATATTAGGAGGTCTAAGACATCGCTGTAATGGATGGTATTAGAATTCAATATCAAATCATTGTATAATATGAAAAACGATTCTGAGCGGAGACGGTATGTCACTTTCGGATATTTTATATTGTTATTACTTATTATTTATATGGTAGCCGGTAAATTGAATAAACATAATTCTTAAATTATCAGTGCTGCTTTAAATATATTAAATGTCCCTATGTAAAATTGGGCTGTTTTGGAACCGAATTTCAACAAAACGTTATTCTTTTTGTTAACAAGCAATTTTGTAACAATTTGAACTTAATATATATGCAAAAATAACTGTACTTATTCATGTATTTGTTAGATTTCTTAGTTATGAAAAAAAACTGATTAAGAGGAACCTCGATTTAAATTTTCAATCCTTAGTTGTAAAAATTAAAGTTTTATAAATTTTTAACTAAAAATCATTTTCAATTTTCAATTTGATAAATATTTTCAAAATTTGAACTTAAAGCGCTTATAATATTTTTCAACTGCTATTGTAATAATATATTATCAAAAGTCTTGCATTCAATTTTTCTGCTTTTTGAATCAACCAATATAATTTTAATGATATTTATAGAAGGAAAAAAATGAAATTGAAAATGTCCGTCAACAGCTTAAAACGATTGAAAATATTTTGAAAATGTATTCAAGTATATGGATTAATGAAAAAAACATTTAATGTAAATGTCAAAGTGTGTGCAGTAATTCCTTTTTGAATTACAACAAAATAAGAAAATCGCTACAAGAAAAATTGAGTGGATATCCAATGTTGTAAACATTAGAACTTCAAACGACGTACGTGAAGTTGGCACCCCGACTTTGTCGTATCGTCCCCAAACCAATATTATATTTTTGCAAATTTATTGCAACAATTCGCAACATCAATTAAAAATTTGAAACAATTTTTTTTTGCTAGGATGTGTTCTTACTATATTTTGGTTAATTTTTGTTTTTTTCTAATTGAAATGTCTTTTGTAGAGGTTTGAAAGTTAGTAATTACTAGTATAATTCATTTCTTTTTTACGATTTGTTCCACTTCTGTAAAATATAGATGCATATGGCTTGTACTAATCTATAAATATAATAGTCTAAGTATATGGGTTACACACAATAATCTTAATTTCAATTTTAAAATTTATTTGATTTAAACCAGGGCTTGCATTTGAAAAATAAATTTTGTTTTACGTTATTTACAATCAAAATGTTATACAATTTTTGCGTTTATCGTTATTCATAATTAAAACGTTATACAATTTTTGCGTTTATCGTTATTTAAAATTTAAAAGTAGGTATTTAGATACCTGTTTTAAAAGTACACAGGCCGCAATTTAAAAGTATACGACTATGATCTTTTTTTGGGGACATAATTTCCCTATTCTGAGTTTTAAGTAGGTATTGTTTAATTTAATTTATTTAAATAAATGGGTTAAACTAATATAAAGAAAACGTATGCACGTTAAAACTATAAGTATATTAGTATAAAATATAAATATTAAACATTTGACAACAATTAGACAAACACTGACGAGTGAATAAATCTGAGCAAACTGAACACCGAACATAATAGTTGAATAACTTGAGCGGTATAAATTTCGACCGTAGTACAGATCAGTGGCGTAGCGTGCGTTTCAGCTTAGTGTATGCATTGAAGTTGTAAGTTGATAAAATCGTGGGGGGCATAGCCCCCCACACCCCCTACACTTATCTTAAAATATTCCTTGAAACATACCAAGTTTTAGGTAATTTTTAATATATATTACCTTAGTACATAGCACAATATTATATTTAATAAACAAAAAATAAATCACTTTTTAAAAATAATAAACTTATTAACTACAAAATTACTTATATATTAAATCAATTCTTCTATTTTTAGTAAGGAAAGCTTTGATTACTTCATCATGAAACGTAGATTTTTTTTTCAACTCTACCAATAATTTTTTTTCTATTGACAGCATTGATAATGATGAAAGACGATTTTGTTCTTGGGAATTTCTTGATGAATTCTTAATCCTTTTAAGGGCCGAGAATGAACGTTCTGCTGATGCACTAGTAGCTGGAATAGTTAGTATCAATGAAATCAATTTTGTTGCTTGTGGTAAGTTTTCGTCTAAATTTGTGGTTTTTAAATAAATTAAAAGATCGTGAACATTAGGTTTTTGAAATTCTTCGGTTGAGTAGACAACCGAAAGTTCACTTCTCAATTTGGGTAAATCAAAATATTTACCGTATAATTGTTTCAACTAATTGAATAAGTTTATAGGAAAATCATTAGCATATAGACTAAATTTTTTAAAGTCTAATAATACGAAAAATTGTAATTGATTAAGATTTGAAAACCGTTCTTTTGTCTTATTTATTATAACGTCAATTATTTCAAAAAATAGTCGTCTGTAATTAGTTTTTGGATCTCCAGAAACTTCATTAAATCTTTGCCTTTTTGAACGGTGAATTTGAGGCTGTATTTCATTGTTTATAATTTCTAACTGTGACCAAATATCATCAAAACTTGACCTGACAGTATTTAAATAAACAATGAAATCGTCAATCTTTTTTGAGCAATAAGAAATATCAAAAAATTTTTTTTGTAAAATTTCAAAAATAATTGTTGCTTGTGGTAAAATGATTGAAAATAATTTAAGAAAAAAATTGAAATCAAAACTTTGAAGAATTTCCACATACCCTTTGGCAGAAGACAATGTTTCCGAATCCCAATTTTGGGCATTCTCTATGATTGATTCCATTAGATTTATAACATCTAGTTTATGTTCAACCATCACTTCAATAAGACGACTATTGTAATTCCATCTTGTTGGAGCTACTGATGGAAAACGTTTTTTAACTACATTATCAAGTGCATGTACTCGTTTGGTAGATTTTGAAAAAAAAGACGATAAACCAGAAAGGGTTGAAAAAAATATTTTACAATCTTTAATATACTCAACTGACTGTTTTAAGACAAGATTTAATTTATGTGCATAGCAATGTACAAAAATAGCATTTTCATACTTCGAACGCACTAGCGATTGTAAACCATTATGTTGCCCGGACATGACAGCTGCCCCATCATACGTTTGGGCTATTAATTTTTCTTCACATGCATACTTTGAAATAAAACTAAATACATGCTCTGATAATGCTTTCGCTGATCGATCTTCACTAACATCAGTAAATCCCAAAAATCTTTCGACAACTTCGTATCCATCTATGGTATTAACATAACGCAACACTGTTGATAACTGTGACTTTGAAACAATATCAGTTGTCTCGTCCATAATTATTGCAATAAACGGAGTATCACGTATTTCATTTTCAATTTGTTTAAGAAGAACATTTGAAATTGATTGAATCAAGTCATTTTGAATGTCCCCAGATAAACCAGTAAATATAGTGGACGTTGCAAGATGTGTTTTTAACAACTCAACACGCTGGGCCATTAAGTAAATAAGTTCAACATAATTACCTCTATTAACAGATGAATCTGACTCGTCGTGGCCTCTAAATGCCAATTCCTGCTGAGCTAAAAAACACGTTGAATCTATCATACTGCTTAATATGTATCTATTATTTTTAACTGTAAAT